CCAAAGTCGTGCCGGCCGTCATCGTCATTGTCATCATCCTCTTCGTCGCCGTCGTCGCATATTTGTGGTGGAAGAGGAGGAGACAACAGGTCTTCGTCGACGGCATCCTCGGCGAGGGCGGCGGCTCCAACCCGCGCGACTTCAACGACCCGCTATGATTCGTTGCCTGCCCGCCCGCCCGCCCGCCCGCCCGCCCGCCCGTCCGGCCGCTCCCCCCGACTCTCCCGCCCATCGCAGCGCGCAGCGCCTCGCTCCGATTTTCAATTAAACTCTGCCCGCTCTTTCCCGACGCAGCAACACTTCTGCTCCGCTCCACCCTCGCCTCCGCTGTTGCCGAAACCCTGCCGCGCCCAGCCATTTGTCCTGTTGTGCACGTCAGGCGGCAACGATGTGGAAGGAAAGCACCTCGTCGGCCGAACTGTAAGTGCTGTAGGTGGACCGGTGTCCCGCCCGGGAGACTAGCCAGCGGGACGGATACCGGTACACGTGTGAGGCTGCTGAAGGGGCAATGACTTCGCTTGAGAGCTCTTCAGAGCATGCCTGTTTCTGGGATGTCTTCGCAACCAAATGCGTTGGGGAATCGGGTTTTGTAGAGACTTAGCAATCCATGTTGATCATCTTGTCCTGGATTTGCGTCCTGCTTTGTGGAGACTTACAAAAATAAAGCTTATCTTGTCCTGACCTTCTTGTCCTTCCATCATTCCATCCCGACGGAACGCGGCGGATGCTTGGAGCTATTGAATGGCGAACGAGAGCAGTGATTCTCCTCCTGATCTTTTTAGTCGTAGTTCTGGGAAAAAAAAAGAAACACCCCTCACGCTCCCCCTCCAGTCGGACAAAGACAGAAAGCCGAAAATAGCAAAACTGTTCACAACTTGACAAACGGGCAAAAAGAGTTGGAGCATTAGCTCGTGCCGGGAATTGAACCCGGATCTCTTCGGTGACAGCGAAATATACAGCGGCTATGTTAACCATTATACTACACGAACGCTATTTGCTCTGTGATACAGACGTAAAAATCGATATAATTTATTTCATACGAACATCCATGATCCACTGATCTAAAATCGGTGATCTAATGTTGGCCCTTTTTGATCCAAAGCGTAATCATCAAGAAGCGGATTACTAAGCTGTACAGTACCCTTGGTACTGTTCCTTGCCATCAGTTACCTCTGCACTCTGCACGTCGGGGCAGGCCCTCAATTCGATTGTCAATTCGGCACGAGCTGTCCTCATTCAAAGCGACAACATGCTACTTACAGTAGTTGTGCAAGCCGAACAGATTGCACTTTTGCGTCAGGTCGCTCCGCCAACATCCTGATGAAAAGGACAACTCAATTTCCGCCCCCTCAAACTGATTCACGTCGTCACCTTGCGTCTCCCTTGAAAGACCCCCTTCCCATCCATCCTTCCCATCCATCCTTCCCATCTATCGCTTGTCCTGCATCCCGTGCGTCTGTCCGTACTCTCGTCTTACTAGAGCAAACACCCGAGTCTTGAATTCCACACTCCAGCTCAACTGCGTGTACCACCTCTCATAGAGTCTACAGACCGCGTAGGGCCTTGAACAAAAGGGCCATGTACATCCGCATCACCTCTACGGATCCTGCCAAACCCCATTCCGACTCATATTACTTCCACACCCTCACTATACCAACCTATGAAAACCTTGACGAAAGGTGCGCGCACTCTTGATGAGCAATGAACAAAGCCTGTTACAACATTCACGATTGTCACGAGTGAATAATATTCGGCTCTAATCACTTTAGGCCCAACATCTCACGATATTGGTACCTGCACGTTCATCTACGGTGCCATGGCTCATGATCGTCATACTCAGACCAGTACGAAGCAATGAACGCTTTTCGTTTGACTGCAGGGCCTTTAGCTCACCTTATCTTTCCCAGCATTTGCTGATCTCGGAAATTGGGGAGCACAGAGTAGAGCTGGAAGAATAGACCGAGAGTGCAAGCGTTCCTACTCATTTCTTGACTCCACTATGCCAAGAAAGGACCAAGACACGGGTTTTAGAGCACGAGAGATTGACTAACAGTGCTGCTTTTCTCTCTTCTTTCCGCGCTTTCATCCTAGACAGTGACCGCGTGATGAGATCTGCAGCCGTAACCATGTAGTCATCGCTCTGAAATGGGGGACTCCTATGCCCCTTGCATACTCTTGTAAAACCCGCCTGATTTCTCGCCCCGCGAATATCACTTTTTTCAGCATCTTGATTTCACCGAAAATCGCCATAATGCGCAGCTCACAGAACACAAGCCATTTCACAGAACAAGATCCGTCCCTCTCCACCTCGTCGCGATGTCCGCAACTCGCTACCTCTCCCGCGGCTTCCGCACCTTGGCCTATACCCGTCGCCGCTTCGCATCTGCCCCCAAAGCCGCCGAGGCTGCCGCGGAAGCCCAACCTGACCCCAAAGTGGAGAGCATCTTGGGCTTGCGCATCGACTCTAACACAGTCCCCGAAAATGTCATCCGGGCGCTTTCACTAGAAAATGCGAGCCGATCGGAGGCACGTCGCCTGCGGAAAATAAGGCTTATAGAGACCTTTAGAAGGTCGGAAAGCGATACTGGTTCGCCAGAAGTGCAGAGTACGTTGTGGAGCAATTTCTGAGATGCCCGTGGTTCCGGGCTTGTGCATAGCGACTGATCAAGTGAGTCTGTTTTGTTGTGTTTTCCATTTCGAGCGTAGTTGCTATTCTTACCGATCGCATCAAGGACCTTACGGGACATGTGCAACAACATAAGCAGGATAAGATGAACATGAGAAGTCTGGTCATGCTCGTGCACAAGCGACGACGGCTGATGAAGTATTTATTGCGTGAAACTCCAGGTATGTTACCAGTCTCTCTGCGTTTCCACCGTAGTCGTGCGCGTTACTGCTTCCCGGATTTGCCTGCGTTTTCTAACTGTTGCGGCTGCACAATTCTTGCGTGATGCGATCAACAGAGCGCTACGTCGCCATCGTCAAAGCTCTCTCTTTGCGACCTTCTTCGGTGTTTAGCAAGGATGTTCCCCTCGGAGCAAAGAAAGCCCCTACCCCAAAGTTGAATTGAGTTTGAACAACTCTTGGTTATCCAAGTTTGAAATTTGCTCGAGGATTGGTTCTCTTTCACCCTTCCTAGCATGTGAATCGCTACTGTCAAAGAGGCTGTTTGCACAATCACCGGTTTTCAAGTGTATCGAATAGATAAAGACGTCGGAGGGTCTAGAATCACATTCTTCCCGAACGGCACGCATCGCGTGAGGACGAACCGACTTCGCACGTGAGATTTCTGGATCGGCTTGCGTTCTAGCGCTGGGCGTTATTCTGCAAGGCTGTCTGGGACGCCAGCAGTTGAGCGTTTCAATTTCTCACGTTGCGTGAGAATATCTTCGAGATATCGTTTTATCATGAAGCAATTGAGTAACGCTCCGCTGCGATAGACATCGTTGCTGTGCATCTGCACGCAACGCATGTATACGAATTTGTGAAGGAGAGGGAAGGCATGTGGGGTCCATGCAGAAGCGATCCGCATGAAAACACTTGCGCCATAATTAATTAGTTCTCAAACGCGCCACGCTCTTCTATGTCGACGCTACCTCTGTGCCCTCCGAGCCGCCAACACCGTTACGATCCACTTGTCGCCGGCTCCATCATCGGCAGGCGTCCCCATCGCAGCAGCCCCGACCTCCTCCTCATCCCCATATTCCTCAATCGTCCTTGAATCTTCTCCATCCACCTCATCTCTTTCCCCCCTCCGCCACGGCACCCATCGCCATCTCCTTGAAGGAGCCTCAGGATCTGCCCGTTCCGCCAGCGACAAGATCTCCTTCCCCGTAGCTCCATGCCCATCTGGCAATTTCAGGAAGTCCGCCTCGTCATAACTCCACCTCCCGGGCGCCATCTCCTCCGAAAGCCTCCGCTCCCAGTCCTCCTGCTTGGCGCTACCCAGCGGCGCGTACCGAGTGCCTTCAAACAGCGCCATCCCAAACGGCCCGCTCGCCTCGTTCTTGTTCACGGCGCGCCTCCTCCGCATGACCCCAGCCGCCACCACTTCCAGAAGCACGCCTCCGACCATGGCGACCGCGGCCACGATAACAAAGACGATCCCCATGACGCGAAAGCTGTCCTCGCCGTGGCACTCGGCCGCCCACACCTCCATCTGGCCGAGCGTCTCATTCCCGGCATGATATGCGACGGCCTCGCCCCTATTGGTGGCGGCCGAGTCCAGCAGCTCGAAACCCTTGATCATGAACGGCAGCGCGGAGAAGATGTCGGTAAACACGATGTAGCACAGCATGGCAAACGTGTTTAAGTCAGCCAAAAAGGCAACCGGGAAGAGTGTCATGACTATCGGTAGCGCCAAGATCGCAATATTCGACAAGGTAACGGCATCCTTCGCCTGATCGACAGCGATGGCGTTCAGCCGCAACGCCTCCGTGAGCGCGGGGTTCTCATCAAAAACCATGACAGACACGGACGCCAACCCTGGTATGCCGCCAAACCTGGCAATAATCGTCGTCGCGTTCTCGACCGGCCCGCCGCCATACCTGACATGCGGCAAGCGCAGCGCGTCACTCCAGTCGCGCGGGATATACTCATCCACAAACTGCCGTTCATAATCCGGCATGAACGCATCAACAGGGTTATTTGTAACCCCCGCGCGCAGAAACCATGTCCCCATCTTCCTATACGCGAACAGATTATCGGACGTGCACGTCTGCCCCGAACGTCTCAAGTCCCAATCACGCAGCGGTACAGCGCCTCTAGTCCAGTTTTTTGCGTCGTCACTGCGGTCCGGCAGCTGCGGGATGTTGCGCTGCGCCTGGAACAGCGCGTCCTTCGCGTCGACAATAGTTTCCTTCACGGCGTGGCCAAAATCCGCGCGGTCCACCGCACGCTTTACGGCGTCGTCGTTCAGCACGACGCGCGTATCGCATGAGTTCGACAAGTCGCCCACCTGGCGCACCCGGATGTGGTTGTGCGTCGCGCGCACCCACGTCACCGACAGGTTCAGGTTGCACGCGTCCGATGCGTTCGCGGCCTTGCGGCCGTCGACGATGGAGGCGAGCATATCGAAGAGCCGGAAGGCCGGGAGGATGCGTGCTTGCAGGGAAGGGGAAGCCCGGATGGCGGATGTGACGGGGGCCGAAGTGGAGAGCGAGAAATGCCGGCCAACGTGCACGCCGTCAGAGATAGCGGACACGTCGAACGGCTGCTCGAGGGCGCGGGCGAGGGGGAGAAGGGAGAGGAGCGTGAGTAGATGCGCAAGGGGCATGGCGGGGCGTAGAGGGAATGTGAGAGGGTCGGGGCAAGAGGGAAGCGATAGGGAGCGGAGGCGAGTGGTTACATCGGGGTGCAGCCGCGGGCGCCGTGATATGAGGGGGTGGGAATGGCGAGGACGGGTGTGGAAGGAAGTAGAAAAGCAAACTGGCAGAGTAGGGGCTCACCCGAGGCAGGAGGCGGCGGACAAGACAAGGCGGTATGTCCTGGGCGCGGCGGCCAATGGATTTGCACACCCCCAAGCAGCGGCCAATAGGTTTGCATTCCACCAAGCGCCGGCCAATCGGCGCGGCGCACGCGGCACAGGCGGTGGACTGCTCTTGGAGAGGCGCGGGAGGAAGTCTCGTGCCCGTGCGGACTTGTTGCACGCCGTGGATCGTCCACTCTCCCTTACTTGACGATCGCGCCAGTGCACGCAACCTCACCCGCTCCCTATGCCCGTGTGGCATGTAGGCATGCGTCCCGCGCCGTTCACTGAAGGTTATGCCCCACGATCAGGCCCCGCAGGACGGCTCTAAGCACATAACGTGCGCCGGCCGTTCAAAATCTCGATCACAATCATTGCTGTACCGACTTTGGAACGTCTCCCCGTCCAAATCTCATCAACTTTCCGCGTAAAGCTTCCTGAGATGCCACTTGCCACGCGCCCCACTTCCTCGACCCCGGCCCCCCATCGTTGGCGACGCACTCTGCTCCCCGCACGTGCCAGCCCTCGCGGTATCTCTCGGCGGACCAATAACCGCCTCCCCCCCTCCGCGAGTTTTCTTCGTCTGAATACTCGCCGCCCAGATACTCCTCATCCTTGCATCTCCCGCCGTCCCTCTCCCCCGCGGGTGCGGTCCACCCACACCGGTCACCAAACCGGATCCACCTCTCCCCGGCTCTCCCCTTCTCAACACTCCCCTTCTCTGCCCACTCCTCCTCATAGTGCTCGTCCTCGAACAGCAACGCCGCCCCAAACGGCCCTACCGTCTCGCCCTCGCCCAGCCTCCCCTCCACCAGCTTGCGCCGCCGCTGCTTTATCATGCGCGACGCCACCAGCTCCAGCACCAGCCCTGTACCCATGGCGGCGACGGCCACGCAAATAAACGCGATGCCCAGCGATCGGAACGACCGGTCCGCTTGGCACTCTACGGCCCACACCTCGAGCAGCCCGAGCTCCGCGGTCCCCATGTGGAACGCGACTGTCTCCCCCCGCCGCGCGGATCCAGTGTGCAGCAGCTCCACCCCCTTGATGAGGAACGGGAGCGAGGCGAGCAGGTCCGTGAACACAATGTAAAGAAGCGTCGCGCACGAGTTTAGGTCCGCCACAAACGCGACCGGGATTAGGCTCATCGCCATCGGCAGCGCGAGGATGGCGACGTTCGACCCCGTGATCGCGTCGGTCGCCTGGTCCACGGCGACCTCATTCAGGCGCATCGCCTCCTTGAGCGCGGGGTTCTCATCTACGCCCATCGGCACGAACGCGAACGGCGCAACACCCCCCGCCACGCGCAGCGTGGTAGTCCCGTTGGCTTCCGCCCCTCCGTCGGGCCAGCTCTCGCGGCGCACGCTGAGGGCGTCGTCTTCCAAGTCACGCGGCACAAACTCCTCGACGAAAGCGCGCTCGGCGTCCGGCACTAAAGCTCGCGCGGC